GCAATTGGCACAGGACAGAGCAGAGTTTAGGGCTGTTGTACATAGGGTCGCTATGAGTCACAAGCGACTCGACGGCACATAACAACAACAACAATGGAGAGCACAGTCTCGATTCTAAGTGCTTCTCCCATCATTTCCTCTTAAACTTCTGGCCACTCTTATATCTGTATTAGAACATAACAGAACATGAGGTCTGATTTATCAAAGAATCCTAAATCCCAGAGGACAAATTTCCATATGCATTAATATTTCCCAGTGTTCTTCATGGAAGTTTTGTACTCTTTGGACATGGTGGGGTGCCCAGTGGGGTGGAGGACTGGCATGCAGAGCCCTTCTCAAAGCCAGTGGAAGCTCCTCCAGCCCTTGGCACGCGGCTTTCCTGTGTGCCATTCTTTCCTCTCTTGCTAGGGTAGCAAGTTCAAGACTTCGAGCCCTCGCAGCTGCAACAATGGGTTGAAACGTAGCAATTCTGTGATATGGTGGCCTGGGCAGCACGTCCTTCCGCTGTACAAAGGTCAGTATGAGCAGGAACCAACTTGAAGGCTACCCCAGTGTCCGACTGAATTGAAATGAATGCTTGTGGAATATCCAGCCGTGGTCAACTTCAAGACTCCAACAAGGTCTAGTGTCATGGCTGTTGGCCTTGAGGTCTAGAAAGAAGAGGCCTCTTTGGGGGCAGATGCACCAGCGAGGGAGACCCATATTCTCCTTTCTGGGATAGCGTGGATTCACATACAACAACTCTCCCACCTCAGTCATCTCCTCTGGCAGGAGGGAGACAATGGGTGCCAAGCCAGAGCTGATTGGCCTGAATCGCTCTTGACAAAGAGAAAGGAAGTGATCATGTGTCTACACTGACAGGTACTGAGACATGGCCAGCTCACCCATAGCAAACATCTTTACAGAGCCGTTATTACCATGGACCTGAACTTGGCATCTGAACCCCTTGTTACATGCAAGTGCCTACTTGAACTCCAGACTTTCCTGGGCACTGCTATGGTGACCAGCAGCCCCTTGGTGGCCACGTGGCCTGGTGTGGTCAGGACTCCTTTCCTTGCGGTGGCTGGAGCCCACTCTAAATATACTGAAAAGAGTCCTAGTGGCACAAGGGTTAAGAAATCAGCTGCAGGGAGCTCTGGTGGCCTAATGGCAAGAAGCTGCACTGCAATCCCAGAGGTGCATGGTTCGAATCCACCAGATGCTCTCCTGGGAAAGGAGGGACAATCTCC